CCCATTGGCTCGGGACAGCGAACCGCGGCCAGTGGGGGCCGCGATCGGCCGAACCTGCTGCGTCAGCAGGTAAATAAACTGGCCCGGCCCGCTAGGGTGCTTATCCTGGCGAGCCGTGTGCCGAACGTTGCCGATCCCTGGTCTAACAACTAGAAAATATTCAAACAATGGAAATATGGTTGAATATTGGGAAATACTTTGGGTGTTCTGCAGTACATGAAATTGCAAATAATAATAATAATTAACAATTAATATCAAGGGGCACTGACTACAAAGGCCTTACCCACGTTCTGTGCCTTTCCCATCTAGTTTTGGCTACAAGACGTAAGCAAATGGCATAGAAACATACATTCCCAATGGTAAGAGATGTATCTGCAGTATTGGCCTCAACATCAGAATATATTCATAGAATCATAGAATATCAGGGTTGGAAGGGACCTCAGGAGGTCATCTAGTCCAACCCCCTGCTCAAAGCAGGACAAATCCCCAACTAAATAATCCCAGCCAGGGCTTTGTCAAACCTGACCTTAAAAACCTCTAAAGAAGAAGATTCCACCACCTCCCTAGGTAACCCATTCCAGTGCTTCACCACCCTCCTAGTGAAAAAGTTTTTCCCAATATCCAACCAAAACCTCCTCCAGTGCAACTTGAGATCATTACTCCTTGTTCTGTCATCTGCTACCACTGAGAACAGTCTAGATCCATCCTCTTTGGAACCCCTTTTCAGGTAGTTGAAAGCAGCTATCAAATCCCCCCTCATTCTTCTCTTCTGCAGACTAAACAATCCCAGTTCCCTCAGCCTCTTCTCATAAGTCATGTGCTCCAGCCTTCTAATCATTTTTGTTGCCCTCCGCTGGACTCTTTCCAATTTTTCCACAGTCTTCTTGTAGTGTGGGGCCCAAAACTGTACACACTACTCCAGATGAGGCCTCACCAATGCCGAATAGAGGGGAATGATCATGTCCCTCGATCTGCTGTCAATGCTCCTACTTATACAGCCCAAAATGCTGTTAGCCTTTTTGGCAACAAGGGCACACTGTTGACTCATATCCAGCTTCTTGTCCACTGTAACCCCTAGGTCCTTTTCTGCAGAACTGCTGCTTAGCCAGTCTGTCCCTAGTCTCTCTCTAGCAATGCATGGGATTCTTTCATCCTAAGTGCAGGACTCTGCACTTGTCCTTGTTGAACCTCATCAGATTTCTTTTGGCCCAATCCTCTAGTTTGTCTAGGTTCCTCTGTATCCCTCTGTATCCTATCCTATTCCTGATTGTCTGTGTCATGGTTCCTGGTAAACTGCCCTGCTAAGATCCTCTACCAGTCCCTTTAGTACACTCTTCTCAAGTGACAGGCCTGTGCCTCCACATCTCTTTTGGAAAAGTGCCTGTGGACCAACCATTCCCTGACTGAGTCTCTAAGTTACATGTCGGGGCACAGCTGGCTCCCAGCCTGGTCATTAGGCAACCCAGCAAGCTCAGCTGGGCCCAATGAGCCCTCTCCTAATGGTTGTGCTTCCTGATTGGGCAGGGGAGCCAGCAGCCTGCTACTTGAGCCTTGCAGTAGCACCAGTACAGCTGCTGCTCAATGTGAACCATGCCTGTAGCAGTGCTTACACTGTGTGCACTTTGGCTTCTTGCCCCAGCCACAGCTTCCCTTCCCCATTCTGGTTTCTGACTCCTAGCTCCAACTCCTGGTGACGTCCCTGATTATGACTCAGGCATACCCTTTGGTTTAGACTTTGACTTCTGACTGAAATTTTTTCAGTTCTAACCTTCTGCTTGGCCCCTGATTCCTGCTTCACCCTGGAGTCGGTGCCTGATCATTACCTGAACTGCCAAGTTGGCTTGGCGCCTGCAAAAGTTTCCCTCAGGGAGCCTTCAGCCAGTAGCAGTGTGCAGTGACACATCAGCAGCTTCTCCAGAACAAAGGATGATTTATTATTTATTTTATCTCTCTTCACAGCTATAAACCTGGCTATGGTATTTGAGAGGAAGCTCCTTATCTAGGTCATTGTTTTATCTTTCCTGCCTAGTTTTGTAACCAATCCCTTTTCATCTAACTCTGTGCATTCAGGAAGGGTAATATCACCCAGGTACACTGAAGGGCATAAGATATTTATAAAAAACCACAAATATTTCCTAGTTCTCCACGGTTTGTATGGCTCAATCATTTAAAGACAAACAAAGTTTAATTTCTTCTGACCAAAACAGCTGAAGTCTGTGAATGAAGCCAAGCAACAGCCAATTTTGTAGAGCAGTGTGATTTAGGGGACTGATTTTAGGGATGGAAGCAAGCAGCTCCTGAGTTCTAATCTATATTCTGCTATTGTCTCACCCTTGTGTCTATTACCCCACCTATAACATTGAGTCATAATACTTATCTACCTACCTCACAGGCATGTAATGAGGATGTCTGTGCAGTGCTTCATTACTGTAAAGCACTATATAAGCGTAAAATATTATTCTAAATAGTAAAGCACTTTGGAGAATAATTCCAATGCTGCACGGATACACTACATTATGCATGCTGACTGCCAAAGTGGACATATTTCAGGACCATCTGGAAGGGTTGACACTACCCATTCGGATGATTGGGACTATGAAAAGAGAGAGAAGTCAGGATGGAAGGCACTGTGGATTGCCAAGTTTGGGATACGTTTGTACAGTGCTTTGAAAATATAAAGTGCTATATAATTTCTAAGTACAGTTAGGAATTAATGTGTGCTATAAATTGATACACTGTACCCATGAAACAGCTTGCAGGGGGCAGTGTAAATAACATAAAGCCAATGCTAAATGTACTGAACTGTAACTGAACTGTAAAGCCCTGATGGAAGCTGCTATGTAGATTAGTAATTTAATTGCATGCCAGAGCAACAACTGTAAAAGACTGTTCTTTGAGTCTGCAACTAACAAACTTCAATCATTGCTATAAACATGGAATGCTGACAATGATATGAACGCTAACAGAAACCTTGAACACATTACAACAGCACTCTGTTACGTTGGTATTGGGAAACTAGATAGTATGAAGCTTAAAATATTAAATATAGCTTAACATAAGTAATAAATGAACATCTGAGTAAGCGAGTATATTGCTGCTGTGCACAGGTGAAAATTGCTCCATGTTGGTAGAAAAGTATCTATATAAAACACTCATGGGTGTCATGTAATTCTTTTTTGTTTCTGGGATACACTTTCAACTGTTGTCTCTTCTATCATTTAAAACATATTTAACTGTGATAGAACTACACCCATTGTATAAAGGAAGGTTTATGTAGATGAGTCTGAATACTGTATTCTAGACACTCCTAATATCCTGGGTTTTTTTAAAGAAAATAAGTGACATTGGAAATATACAAGTATAAATGAATAGTAAAAAAAGATGGATTGTAGATTGACATTATGGACAGTGAAGATTAGTTCCTTTTATTTCCAGCAGGAGTGTTCTATTAGGGATTTCCTATCGGAAAAGAGATCAGCATGTACCATTGTATTACCACATTACGTTTCATGCTTTTAACCCAAAGTCCAAGGGTTTCACTGATTTACAGCTCAATATAAAGGGACAGCCGAGATGGAAATTGGGAAAAATTAGGTTATGTCTACACTTAAAGCACTACAGCGGTGCAGCTACAGCATTATAGCGCTTCAGTGTAGAGCAGACAGTCATTACAGTGACGGGAGGGGTTCTCCCTTTGCTGTAGTTAATCCACCTTCCCGAAAGGCAGAGGCGAAAAAATTCTTCCATTAACCTAATACCATCTACACTGGGGTTAGGTCAGTTTAATTACCTTTTCATACCTCTGAGTAACGTCACTGGATTGACCTAACTTAGTGGTGCTCAAACTTATTACACAGGAGGGCCTCTATAAACCTAAGCACCACCTTGTGTGGCCCAAGCAGATTTTACATATTTTAATAAGATTTAATGTCACCTGTATTGATTTATATTTTAAGTTCAGCTTGTTCCATAGGTATTTAGATCGATTGTTTCTATGTTCAGTATTGTCTATTTACACACTTGTGTAAACTAAAATGATGTCAACATAATGACAAAACGCTAATGAATTGGCCATTAGTATATTGTGTTGAAGCAGGCCCTGGGCCTTATGAAATGCTCTGGTGGGCCGTAGGTTGGGCACTGCTGACATAACTTTTTAGTGTAGACCTGCCCTTTAGTCTTTCTTGTGCGTTAACTGGCCAGGTGACTGAACAGAAAACGTGACACATTTTTCAAACTATCCAAACAAAAATTGTGGAACTAACGAAGTGCCTGTTCAATTTCATTGTACAAGCACATCTCTTTTAGTCACACCCATCCTGATCTTTCATTGGAAAACTATCCATTTAGATTGTGAGTGCTTCAGGGTAAGTATGTTGTCTTCACACCTGTCTGTAAAACATTTAGCATACTATGGCACTAGAATACGAATTAACAATAGTGTTTAGCATTTTTCTAGCACTTTTACCCATAGATCTTAAAGGAACATTGTCCCTGTTTAACTGATGGGGAAACAAATATAGAAATCTTAAGTGATGTGACAGAAAGGAGAGGGAGAGATTGCAGCTTCAGAAAGAGGGGGGAGCAACACACTTGAAAGAGTCACAGTTCACTGAGGCTAGAAATTAATGCTATCTACCCATTGAAATCCAGGATTCCTGACTTTCTGTGGTGTCAAGCATTAGTTTCCACCCATGGAAAGTCATGGAATAGGCTTTAAAATAATTTTCTGGTTATCAGCTGCCTCTTGGGGTACGTCTACACTGCGATAAGAAATCTGCAGCTGTGAGCCTCAGAGCCTGGGTCAATTGTCTTGGGCGTGCGCTACAGGGCTAAAAATAGCAGTGTAGACATTTGGGCTCTCAGACCCTTCCCTTTTGCTGGGTTTCAGAGCCAGGCTCCAGCCCAAGCCCAAACATTTACACTGCTATTTTTAACCCTGTAGCGTAAGTTCAAGTCAGCTGACCCAGGCTCTGAGACTCGCTGCCATGGGATTTTTATTGCAGTATGGACACACCCTTGCTGTCTCCTTGGTGATCACACAATAAATAACCCCAGCAATGAGTAGGTTATGTTTGGAACCAAGATGAAAAAAGAGAAAATCAAATGGAGAACCCCAAACAAGCTAAAATTAAAGTAGATTTGTTTAGACCAAAGTTGCTCTCTAGCTCACTGTGATCTTCAATATTTATTTTTTTAAACACAGTGTAAGATCAGTGACACTTACCGCCCTTTTAATGTGATCAGATATATGTGGCCTCTCATATGCCCTGGTAACCAGACAATATGTATGCAGCTGCTGAAGCACAAATCTTTACCTGCCTACATACCTTTATGAATAAGATGCTCCAGCACATCACAGTGTCCATATTCAGCAGCAACTCCTAATGGCGTTACCCCATAACCATCTTTCAGGTGCACATTTCCTCCATTCTTCAGAAGCAGAGAAACAATCTCTTTGCAGCCTTGTTTTGCAGCTTCATGCATTGCTGACCAGCGTTTTACACATGGCTGGTGGATACGACAGTTGTATTTAATCAGAGCCAATACCATTTCATAAGAGCCCCGTCTCACAGCTTGAAAATATGGAAAAAGAAGAAAAAAAGACACCATTAGAGATCTCGTTACACATGCTGAAAGATGAATTGTGAGGCTTACATTTTTTTCAGTGTTTGGAGAAAATTAAGCAGTTCATCCAGGTCGGCCAAATTCAGACCTCTTTCCTAGCAGTCGGTGGACCAAATACACTGGCAAGTAAAGGATGGTGTAAGTTACATGCTGGGTGTAAGCTGGTCAGGCAATCATGGTACTTGCATGCAAATGGTAAAATAGTGTAACTGGCACTGATTGACATTCAGTGTGTATGCAAAATTTATGTTCTGAGGCTACAGAAGCAGGAGTATTGCAAGAAAAGCAGCAAACAGAAAGGTAAAAGCAAAAACAGAAGGGTACTGCTTTATCTTACTCCATCCAGTTAATTGCGCAGCCACACCACTTTTCCTCCCCCCCTTGGCAAGTAAGGTACATTCTCAGGGCTTTGCTCTTCATGTATGGATCTCCCAAAGATCTCTATCAGTGTTCCACATATGCCAGGCTTGTAAGACTGGCCTTCCACTGAACACTATGTTGATATACATTTGCTACTTAACATGAACACCCATTCTTCTTTCCAACTTGGATCTAGTGTATAACCTTCACCACCATTTGTCACAGTTGAATACAGCCTTTACCTTTAATGCTACAGCAAACTCTTCAATGTTCTCCCAGTATTCCAACTATCCCACTTATTAGGTCAGTTTCTAATTCTAATGCCTAAACTGATGTTCACTGGTTGTCACTAGCCAAGATATCACTGACATATGTTATACTCAAAGGCCGAATTCTGCCCTTTTGAGGATCCAACTGTGAAATTTTCATGGATAATGCAGCTCAAGACCAGCACAAGTTACCTGTCTATGGGAGAGTTTTTGGTTCATGCACATTTTGCTACCCAGATCAATTGTGGTCAGATTTTAAAATTTAACTGTAATACTTCTACCTTTATTTTCATGTGGTTTATACTTTTTTGTGCCTTGTTTTGACTTTCACATTCTGTATGAGCTTGGTAGTATATCTTTAACGTATAATGGCACGTCCATTGATTTCAATTAGATTTTTTCTTTCAATGGATAGCATGATCTGACCCAGAATTTTTGGACAAATATTCAATATTCTGTGAAACTTCAAGGCCTCAGCAGTAAATACACAAGCTTTCCCCTCAAAAAAACATTCTTTGTGATTACTTAGTTTCAGCTGATCTCTGCTGTGTGATAATGCTATTCATAGTTACTTTGACTTCAATGGAGTTTTAGGTACCCAACTAAAGAGTCCTCTAATCTACGGCTCTCTTGTAGAGTTAGTACAGGAGTAATTAAGTTAAATTAAAAGCAATTCTCAATTGCGACTTATATTGGGTGGTAAGTGCTTGATGATGCTCTCACTGACCTCACTGTGACTAGGATCGAACTGTAAGGTGCAAAACACCCTCCACTCCCACAGACTCGATTACAACTGATAACAGCCCCAAAAAACTCAACCTATCAGGAAATCATAAATAGAAATATCCAGGAGAGTAAATTTAGTAGGGAAGAAAAAAAAATCCTTTTCCTTCAATTCTAGTTGAGTTTACTCTTCCTGGTATTCATCAAGCAGCAATGGCTAATAATCTTATGTTAAAAGTTCTATGGATTTGCAACTACTGGAAAGAACTGGAGAAATACAAAGCAATAAATCTAAAGAAACTTTTATAGATCCTTTGTGGCTCAGACCTTAACATTTTAATACATTAATTGCTTCATTGGGTATTCTTTGTGGTTAGAATTGACAAAAGTTAGTACCCATCAAATGTAATGTTTTAATAAGTCTGATCATTGTATTTCGGTATGTATGATGTGGGAATTGTATTCATTTTACAGATTGATTTTCTTCATAAGGCCTTGAGTACTTTCATTTTCAACAAGAGCTGGAAGCTGGTGCACTTAAATTACTAGTATAGGGTAAAGCTCATTTAAATATATCAGCAGAAAACTTTCCAAAAGAATAATCTGGCTTTGAACTGAGTTATTCCTTAATAATTTAGTTGCATGCCATTTTCCACAAATTCTTTCTGAAAGTGAAAATACCCAACTACTCCTGACAAAGCCTGTAAAAATAATAAAATTCATTATATTCTCCAGTAGGCCACCCACAGTCATAAACAACTATTTGTAAAACATCCAAGATTTCATTAAAAGTTGTGCAGCCTCTAGTTAAACCCTCACTTGGACTCTTGACCATTACTTGTGCCTTGAGTGGTCACAAGAGGCCAGATTTTTAAAAGTAATTAGGCACCTCTGATGGGGTATGCTCCCCCACATTAGTCCTGAAGGGGTCAATTTAGGCCACATACGCCAATTAACCTATAAGACTGCAAAGTGGGGAATATTTAGGCTGAGAGGCAATCCCTAATTAAGGGAAGTTTACCTGTGCAGGAACAGGTGGGGCTTCTATAAAACCAGGGAGCTGGTAGCAGAAAGAGGTCTCAGGGGAAGAGGGCTGCAGGCCCTCTCCCTGGGACAAGGGAGACACAGATTTAGACCCCAGAGGAAGGATTTGTGTAGTAGACCCAGAGGAAAAGATTTGGCTAGAGGGGTGGAGAAGGTGAGGTAGGAAACACTCCGAGTGACAGGACGGTTTGTGGTTGTCTGGATCTTTGCTGCTGGAAATAGGGCCCTGGACTGGAATCCAGCGTAGAGGGTGGACCTGGATTTCCCTCCCAGCTACTGAGTGAGTGGCACAATTTGGGCAGTGAACTTGGAGGCTTTCTGGGGCCATGTGTTCTATTCACTGAGTAAGTGGCCCACCCAGGGTAGTGGACTTAAGGATTGCCTGGGATGGCGAGGAAGGTGTTGATATTCCAATATTCCTGGAAGGGGAAACACCATACTAACCTGGCTGGAGGGCTGAGTCACAAAGAAGAAGCTGCTACTCCTGGAGCAAGAGAGGAGTTGCAGACCGAGAGAGACAAGGAGCTGAGGAACCACAAGAAGGACATTGGGCTGGAAGAGCTAATCCCCAGAGTGGCTATCAGGAGGCCCAGGTGGGGTGAGCAGAGGTCCCCGTGATAGCATTTTAAGATGCAGATTGTCATGTAGAATGACATCAATGGGAGTTAGGCACCCAGGTGTTTTTGAAAATCCCATTAGGTGCCTATATGCATCTCTAGGCACCTAAATACCTTTAAAAATCTGGCCCCTGGGCCTGATCTAAAGTCCAGTGAAGTCAATGGAAGTCTTTCCATTCAAAGGACTTTGGGTAACTAAACATGTACAGAAAATAATCTGTTTCCACTTACAGATGGTCCCTCTGTTTCAGGGATAAGGCACATTGGCAAGGCAGTGTAGGAAAACTTCAGCTGCCACTGCCTGTGCTGTATCTATTCTGTAAATAAGGAAAGGAACTCAGTTTCCAGGAACATCAACCCTGCATCTTTCATATGCACTAAATTCATATGAAAAATTTTAAAAAGAAAAGTTCTACCAAATCAAATGTAACAACAAAAGTAAGGGGGTAGCCGTGTTAGTCTGTATCCACAAAAACAACAAGGAGTCCGGTGGCACTTAAAGACTAACAGATTTATTTGGGCATAAGCTTTCGTGGGTAAAAACCCACTTCTTCTACCCACGAAAGCTTATGCCCAGATAAATCTGTTAGTCTTTAAGGTGCCACTGGACTCCTTGTTGTTTTTAACAAAAATAAAATGGTTTAAAATATTTCTCCAGAAAAACAAAACAGTAGAACTTCCAGGTGTAACTTTTTTTTTTAAATGTGGGATAACCTCTGTGTTCTGTTACACAACATACTAGTTGCAGAAAGCAAATGCATCTTTTGGTCAAGTCCTTGCAATCAACATAAGAATGTTCTATCAGGTGGATTAGAATTTGTGATGTCTTCCCCAAATCTTCAAGGCAACTCAGGATGCACGTTCCAGAAATCATTTGATCAGAGTCTGATTGCATCTCAAGTTCACTCTGGAGCTGTAAGCCAGCCAGCCCACCCAACTGAGTGTTTGTTGTGACTCATAGGTGGGAGTTTGTCACTGGAATTTAGGCTGAAAGTGCTCTGATTTGCTGAAGCGGTAGCAGGAGAGAAAGAGAAAAGATGGAATATTGGAATAGGATCTATTCAAAATTTGGGGTCCATACCTAGTTTTCTCTCCGAAGACTAGATGAAAGACTATACAGGTTACTTTTGTAATTCATGTGAAACAAAGAATAGAAAATACTTTATGCAGGGAGGCAAATGTTGCCTCTCTGAAATATAAATCTCTCATCTCTATTATAGAAAGGTGCTTTTAAAATGTTCAGCACAAACTCAGTGTCAGTAAATTAAACCCCTCAGTTGTTCATACAGCAGGAGAGTGGAAATTCCCCAAGATGCCTTGGCAGTCTCTTGGTGAAAAGTAGTTGGTAAAACTTCTTAAAGAAAGAGGACTCCTTGTGATGTTGCACTCCATATGATTTTATAAAAATATGCTAATGAGTGTGACTATAATATAATTGAAATATGCTTCATGCAAAAGGTCTCTTGTAAGGTATTATTAGAAAGCTTATAATGTACTTTAGACTTGCATATTTTATTTGATTTTGCTTGGTATCTTACTGTGTTCTATCTGTTATTACTTGGAACCACTTAAATCCTACTTTTTATATTTAATAAAATCACTTTTACTTATTAATTGACCCAGAGTAAGTAATTAATTCCTGGGGGAGCAAACAGCTGTTCATATCTCTCTATCAGTGTTATAGAGGGCGGACAATTTATGAGTTTACCCTGTATACGCTTTATACCGAGTACAATGGATTTATTTGGGGTTTGGATCTCATTGGGAACTGGGGATCTGGGTGCTAGAGACAGCAGCACTTTCTAAGCCGTTTTCAGTTAAGTCTGCAGCTTTTGGGGAATGTGGTTCAGACCCTGGGTCTGTGTTTGTAGCAGGCTAAAGTGTCTGGCTCAACAAGACAGGGTACGGAAGTCCCAAGCTGGCAGGAAAAACGGGCTCAGAGGTAGTCTCAGCACATCAGGTGGCAGGCCCAAGGGGGTCTCTGTGACCCAACCCGTCACACTCCTAATTACTTTTCCTGAATGTACAAAGGTATTCCTTCTGTTTAGCGTATAGATCAACTCCTTTTTATAACTGTGTTCCTTGTACTTTCTTAGTCCAAGTTCTATTAGTTCAACTTAAGAATATATTTCTTTCATTATTTTCACCTACCTTTTGTCTGATGTTTATAACTCTAAGGACATAAATTAATTACAGTGGGAAGAAACCTAACATGACCACTTCTGAAACATGCCCCTACAACATCATGCAGGGTCTCCTCCTGCACCCACTTCAGTCGATAACAAAGCTCTCACAGATTTCAAGAGTGAGGGATCAGACTCATATGTCTACATGGCAGGATTAGTAGAATTTGAGTGAGCAGACTCTGGATTTGTTAACCTAAGGCTTGAGTGCCTGTAGTCATTTGTAACCCCAGGTAAGGAATTGAACCATGGGTCCCAATCTGGGGCTTCAGTTTCTACACTACATTATGCAGGACTAAATCCTACCATCCATATCCCAGACTTCCTAGCACCCTCTCAAAATGTAGCCCCTGTAGCCCTTTGTTCATGGTGCAAGCATGGGAAAACTTGACTGTTCACCAAATTTGTCTGTCCAGAGGACAAAAAAAGTTGGCCCATGGGATTGTGAAATATTTTTTGCAGACTCCCAGAGCATGAATCCAGTGGGGCAATATCTACATTACAAAGCAACAGGGCTTGAACCTGAATCCCAGCTTGACTCAGGCTCAGACCCTCCACCCCTGTGGAGTCCTGGGACCCTGTGTCTGAGCCCTGCATTAGCACAATTTGTGTGTAGACGGAAGGAGGGTCAGACTTGAACTTGAGTTCAAATGCTGGGCTTACATTGCAGTGTAGACATACTCATAGGTACCAGAAAGTCAACAATTAACCCTGAAAATTTACTCAAGCAAAATTAACATTATTTGGTGGCAGCATAATCCATTTTTATTTTCCCTCTAAAAATTGAATAGCAACTAAGCCATTTTAGCCAATTGGAATAGTCAAGTGAGTAAGGACTAGTCACATGAAGAAGGGTTTACAGGAGCAGGCCCCAGATCCTCTTGTTATGGTTGGCTTTGGGGAATGCAGGAACTAGATAGAATAGTTTAGAACACTGAAAACTCTGCTATTCGTGTTGGTTTAATTCATAGAAAGGAAGCAATTACCAATGAGAAGAGGTGTTTCTCCTTTATTGTTTGTGGTATTAGGCCAAACACCCTTTTCCAATAATGTTCTTACATTTTCCACAAAACCAGCTTTTGCTGCCAAAGTTAACGGTGTTTCTCCATCACATGTTTTGTATTCCCACATTGATTTATAAGATGCTAGAGTTCAGAAAGTAGAAAACAAAATCCAAAATTAAAATGACAAGCATCTAGGACATAACACAAATGCCATGTTGATAAATACCTGCATGAAAATGAATTTACAACTATTTTAAACGCTGACTTACTAGTTAGTCCTGCCACAATGGTTGACCATTGTAGTCAGTGATTAGATCATGCAGCTCTTCTCTGAATAATTGTAGTTTTCTGAACAAAGTAATTCAAAACCGACCAACCTCTCTGCCGGTGTACATAGGTGGAGCTTCACTGAAGTCAACAGAGCTGTGCCAATTTACACCAGCAGAGAATTTGGCCCATGTGACTGACGAAGCCATGAAACAGAGGAGGGTTTGCTCATACATTTTGCAGTTATTGATTCTATTCTTGTGTTTGTCTATTTATTGCTCCTTGTCTTGTATCTTTCCAATCTCATAGCCCCGTGGGGTGTCTTGAGCTCACTCACCATCCAGAATGATTTCAAGTATTTGCTGAATTGGCTGAGCTGCAGCCTCATGAAGTGGAAACCAACCTCTTTCATCAGCTTCATCCAAAGCATACTTATGTTTCACATAGTTCCGAAGATCAAATACTTGGCCTGAAACAAAAAATAGTGCATATCTGAAAAAAATAGGACAAGCTCAGAGCTTTGCACAGTGAATATTTTATTTCAATATTTGTACCTTGTCTTATGGCTGTTATAAGTTTCCTATTTTGATCACTGGGTGGTACAAATCTGTTGAAGGGATGACAAAAGATATCAAGTATACACAATATAGATACATTACATGAAAGTACAATTTTTAGTGGTTTTAATCACCTGTTTCCACTGTTTTTCAACTTTAGGTTTATATCACCTCGTTACAAATCCTGATTTACTATGTGACCTGACAGAGCACTCAGGAATGGTAGATACAGGATAACAATTTGAACAGACTCTGGACCCCAGGCTTCAGGCCAAAGATGACTCAGACTTGCCAATAGTAGGAGTGGGGGCAGCCGGCTTCAGCAGTGTTACTGAGCCTGCTTAGTCCATGTGAGCATGCTCAGTACAAGCCAAGCAGCAAATCTTGGGGTGGCACATGACCCCTACATGCCCCCCCCCACACTCATTGCCTGGGCTCTGCCTCAGGCCAGTGATAGGTCTGTTTGGTTGTGTCTATGCTAGCTTTTTTTCTGAAGTTTCCCTTTGCAGCTAACATAATACAGTTCCAATGTATAGACACAGTTGCCAACATTTTTAACAATGTCATTTAAACCTATTCAGAGCAGATCTATGTGATACGGTGGTAAAAATGCCAATGGCTGCCAGGACCCTGAGATACTATGACAACAAGTACAACAGCATAATAGTAGGAATCAGCCAAATCATAGATGAAAATGGACAGTAGCACTGTTTGACAGTCTTCAGTGAAGAAATAGGCTCTGATCTTGCAATAGGAAATAGGAACCACACGTGGACCTTTACTTTCTCAGAATTCCATTGATCCCATTATAGGATCAAAGTCATAAATTGAATTGGGCGGTTAACACTTGTCTGCCTTTGCCTTCATTTTCAAATACTGTACAGCATTTTACAAAAAGTCCTTCAATTTATAGTGATCAGATTCGTATAGTGGGGTTTTTGCCATACAACTCCCATTAAAGCCAAGTTTTGTTTCATCAATAGAGGTAGCTAACAGGTAACATTTTCAAAAGCATCTTAGTGACTTAGAAAATGAAGACCAATTTTCAAAAATGATGTAGGTCCTTAGAAACCAAAGTCTCATTGAAAGTCCATGGGACCTGTAGGCTCCTAAATCATTTAGGCACTTTTGAAATCATTTGAAAATTTTACTCAACATCTACAACAGAAATGCTACATGTCATATCTGAGGGCAGTTGGCTCAAACAGAAAACAATCTATGCTAATATATATTAATGATTTTAAAAATACTAACCATGTCTTGAATTCAAAACTCAATAATTTTGTTTTTCACAATTTAAAAACAAATAAAACTGTACCACAGTTTTGCTGTTTTAGGGTCCAATCCTGCAGTTCCTCTGTGTGGGTAATTCCCATTGACTTCAGTGAGAATTTTCTGAGTGGAAGTGCTATGAAATCAGATAGTTAAATACAATTTCTTGAATTACTATAATTGGGTGAAATGTTGGCAGTCATTGCACAATTATCCATCAGAAGATCCATGGTGTGTGATAGAGGCATGAGGCAGAAGTTGTCTGCCTGTATTCTGGCTCTTCCCAATACCTGGCACAGGCTGCTCTGCAAGACCTCTGCTATAAGGTGGAATCTATGAGTCAGAGGTGTGTTCTACACATTTGGGCTTATGCCCAATAGTCCTTGCACAGAGCTCTTCCTTTTCTTCCCACCAACACAGACACGTATTTTGCATTGAGCTTCTTAGCTCTGGATTCTGAATGCACATTAAGGACACAACCCTGAAATCAATGGGACTTACATCATAAAGTTAATCATATGCATAAATCTGTGCTCCATCAAGGCCTAACGTTTCTTTTACAGAATATACATGTGTCAGTGTGGCTGCTACACCATTTTCTGCACACTGGCCAGCATTCTCCCCAGAAAGCCTTTTAAATGTGGTTATAACTATAGAATTCTTAGGGTATGTCTACATTGTAATGTAATCCCAGGATTTGAACTCAGGCTCAAGCCTAAACCCCCTTCCATCTACACACACACCGCACTAATCCAGGACCCGGGCCCAGGACCCCAGTGGGGTGGAAGGTCTGAGTCTCAGGCCTTGTCTACTGGGGTAAGTCGACCTAAGTTACGCTCCTCCAGCGACATGAATAACGTAGGTGGAGTCGACGTAGTTTAGGTCGACTTACAGTGGTGTCGACACCGCGCTGCGTCAATGGGAGATGCTCTCTCATCAGCGTACCTAACTCCTTTCATTCTGGTAGAGTACTGGAGTCAACTGGAGAGCACTCTGCGATTGATTTAGTGGGTCTTCACTAGATCCACTAAATCGACCTCCGCTGCATCGATCATAGCAGCATCAATCCCCGGTAAGTGTAGACATGACCTGAGTCACCCAGGGTTCAAGCCCTATTGCTTTGCAGTGTAGACACAGCACTACTGGACTTGTGGTCTGGGAGTCCACCAGAAGTATTCCACAATCCCATGGCTGACTGACTTTATCCTCTGGACAGACAAGTTTGGTGGACAGTCCAGTTTTCCCATGCTTGCACCACAAACAAAGGGCCAGAGCAGTCACATTTTGAGAGGGCATTAGGAAGTCTGGGATATTGGTGGTTGGACTTGGACCTGCATAATGCAATGTAGATGCTGGAGCCGCAGGTTGGGACCCACGGTTCAACAATTCCTAACCTGGGGCTACAAATGAGTGTAGATGCTCAAGCACTAGGTTAACAAACTCCAGGTCTGCTAACTCAAGTTCTACTAACCCTGAGCTTACATTGCAGTGTAGACGTACTGTGACACTACACCACATATTCTTCATAGATATATTGTTATAATATGATTAAAGCATAACTATATGTTTTGTGCAAGATAAGGCGTGAGGTATCATTGGAAAGGTTATGATTTGCTGAATATGATTATCCTATTTGTATGCATGTCTCATTTTTGTATCTAAAGTTAGGAATATTGACTATACATCTGTACTACAAAAGTATTTGCAATTGGGGAATGCCCACCAGACAGAATGCAATCAGTCTGGCTGGCTAGCTGGGGACAAGTCAATGGACCATTAGGGAGAAAAATAGGTCTTTGAAGATGCTAATCTCTCACCTTCCTGAGATGCTACAAACAGCCCTTGAATCATGGCTGCTTTGACACTGCAGGGTCATGTGATCATGTTATCTGGTACTGGACTCCATGAAAGAATACCAGTATTTTTCCACTGTGGGGTGGGGTGGGGAGAACCACACTGAAAAACAAAGGATTCCCGCCATATGTAAAACCTATTTAAGGCCAGGGAGGGACATAATCAGTGTTCGTTCTTCACTGATGACTGCTTTGAACATCTAAGAAACAAAGACAAAGGGTGGGGGGAAGGACTGAGACCATGCTGGGAAGGTGTCTGGCCTGTGAAAGAAATACCTGGAGTTTTAAGCTGCAAGCAAGAGCAGTTTGCCTGCAAGAACCTCTGCAATCTACCTAAAATAACATTTAGGGTGAGAAACTACTACTTGTAACCAGTTTTTTAGTATCGTTCTCTGTGCAGCATAAGACAATACAATTTTGGGTTTACACTTCAGAGGGGGTGTGCACTTGAGTACTGGGCAATTCCCTAGCTGAAGCCTCCCCCATACAGTGCTTATTTCAGTGTCTGTATCTTTCTACAGCTGGGTGTGTCCCTACCTGTGTGTGTGCTGCTTGAGGGCCTGGCTCAGCAGGACAGTGTAAGGGAGCCCAGGCTGGTGGAACAGGAGGGCTCAGTGGTACCCCAATACATCAGGTGGCACCCCAGAGGGCAGGGGCAACCCCTCACACATACCCAGAGAGTACAAACAAAGCATCGTCCATTTACTTCAAAAAGAGGATTATTTACTAGCATGTAACTAATGAAGACAGTTATATTATGTTTGCTGTATTCAGTCATGTCTTCATACAGGGCCTGGCTGTAAACACAAACACAGATAATAGCCAAACTAAAATTAAAATGCTAGGATGACATAAAGAAATTTTTAATTTCAACTGTCGAGAACACTGAAAGAATTTGCTATTTTCTCATCACATGTATGTGTTTTCTGACTTACTAAAGTACCTTTCATGGTAATGGGAAGTTGTTGGTTGGTTGGCTTCAATTGATTCTTGAATACTAAGCTGAATTGCATAAGCAGTGAGATGGTCTTCAATAGAATCCTCATTTCCTTCCATCATCTTATATGAAAGGTTGAGCTGTTGTCAAGAAAAAAAAAATAGAAAAATGTACTGTGAGGGGCCAGATACTTCACTCTGAGGGCTTGTATTCATGGCAAGACACTATGTAGCAGTCCAGAATTTGAATGCATCAACTTGCAGCACAGTAACATCCTATGTAGACATTACTACATCATAGCTAAGCACCTTGTTTTCGGTTTAAATTAGGGCTGTCAATTAATTGCAGTTAACTCAAGTGATTAACTCAAAAAAATTAATCGCAATTAAAAAATTAATCACAATTAATCACAGTGTTAATCACATTGTTAAACAATAGAATATGAATTCAAATTTATTAAATATTTTGGATGTTTCTCTACATTTTCAAATATTGATTTCAATTACAACACAGAATACGAAGTGTACACTGCTCACTTTATATTATTATTTTTATTACAAATATTTGCACTGTAAAAGTGATAAACAAAAGAAACAGTATTTTTCAATTCACCTCCTACAAGTACGGTAGTGCAATCTCTTTATCATGAAAGTGCAACTTATAAATATAGATTTTTTTTTGTTTGGTAACTGCACTCAAAAACAAAACAATACGGAACTTTAGAGCCTACAAGACCACTCAGTCCTACTTCTTGTTCAGCCAATCGCTAAGACCAACAAGATTGTTTACATTTACGGGAGATAATGCTGCCCACTTCTTATTTACAACTGCTAGGGGGCTTATTTTTTTACGCTCTTACTTTCCTGGTCCTTTTTGCGTGAACAGAGAGCAACAATACCCGAAGTTTCTGTTCCCATTGCCTGTTCCCATTTCCCCCCTTAACAAAACATGATCCCAATTTTCCCACCCCCATTCCCTGTTCCCATTCCCCCCTTTGAAACCTTTTTTTTTCTCCACTCCCCCAGGACCAAGCCCAGCTCCTATCTCTAAAGGTGGTCTGTTAACTCTGCTTTTGACTTTAAACCCTGTTGTGCCAAATTATTTTTAACCACCCCTAACTAATTTACAACCCTTCAGCAGCCCTTGCTGAAACAGCACCAAACTTGAAAGATTACTGGCAGCTTTCCATAATGCTGCCCTTACTTTAAACCTTTTACAAGTGGACTGAAGTGCCTTCTTTCCCTGGAAGGCATTTAGTCCCAGTGGGCAGGGACCTTCTTCCACTACCCATATACCAAAGGAGGATGGGCTTCTCAGCCACTCCCCATCCCTCTGGGTCCCCTAACACTTCCTCCGTTTCCTTTTTAATCTCATCCCAGGTTGACCCCTGCACCTGGTATGGGCCCTGGTTCTTCCTTATTCATTTATTCTAAAAAATTTTTACTCTGGTTTGCCAGAATCCGCAACTACCATTACGAGAGTTCGCTATACCCCCTCCAAGCAGCTGCGCAGACTGTTGGGGAGGGGGACTTACAGGCTGCCACTCACCTATCCGATGCGATGCATCCGAGTCATGGCACCAAGATGTTAAGGGGCTTATTTTTTTACCCTCTTACTTTCCTGGTCCTTTTTGCATGAACAGAGAGCAACAATACCCGAAGTTTAAAGGTGCAAACAATTTGATGTTTATTGGGGTGAACTTTTAGCAAGCATGATTTTAGTTTCCTTTTTTAGTGTCTCCCTTCCCAGCTCTGACACTACAGAGCCTTGCCTATGTTCCTGTTTCTGTTCCCATTTCCTGTTCCCATTTCCCCCCTTAACAAAACATAATCCCAATTTTCCCACCCCCATTCCCTGTTCCCATGTTCCCTTAGCAAAACATGATTCCAATTTCCCCACTTCCATTCCCTGTTTCCATTCCCCCCCCTTACTTCCTGATTGACTGCAAACTATATAGTAAAACTTGAGTTTTGCTTAGCTATACCTTAACCAATTATTTTACTAAAATTTAACTAACCGATTCTAACATATTGTAACATAATTATTTAACCAATTATATTTTACCACCTTAATTGGTTTATACCCAACAAAATTAATTATACAGCAAACAAAAACAATTACAAAACCAACCAAAGACCATGCAAATAAACATACAAAACAGTAAGAATTTTACAACTACATTTATACAAACCTAAGGGTTTTTCAGCTGTGTCTATTAATAAGTAAGTTTTTACCAGACAAAAAATTATTAAACTAAATTTCCTTTTAAATGTTCTAGGCTCTTTCCTTTCTCTAAAGGTAATAAAAATACCAGGACAAAATTGTATTCTTAACAGCCCAATAGCACCTTATTTCCATGTAACCAGTTTGAAATGTAAAAATGTGACCGTTCACTTCTTAGCTTATGGCTGCCTCTGCTGCTTAGCCAAAGGCCTTACTTAGCCTAAAAACAAAGCCTCAGACTGTCACAGTACAAAAAGGCCCTTTCACAGACAGACAGTAATTTTAATTCTTTCTTTTATACCTCTATAACTAGCTAAGTAATAAAAATACACCTGAATTCTTAAAGTATAGGCCTTTATAAACAGGCCTAAATATCTATATCCTAACAACAATGTCATCAGAAAGTGAGAACAGGCATTCACATGGGACTTTTGTAGCCAGCATTACAGGATATTTACATGCCAGATATGCTAAACATTCATATGCCCCTTCATGCTTCAGCCACCATTCCAGAGGACATGCTTCCATGCTGATGACACTCGTTCATTAAATTTGTGACTGAACTCATTGGGGGAGAATTGTATGTCTCTGGCTCTATTTTACCCGCATTCTGCCATATATTTCATGTTATAGTAAGCTCGGATGATGACTCAGCACATGTTCATTTTAAGAACACTTTTGCTGCAGATTTGACAAAACACAAAGAAGGTACCAATGTGAGATTTCTAAAGATAGCTATAGCTACCCAAGGTTTAAGAATCTGAAGTGCCTTCTAAAATCTGAGAAGGATGAGGTGTGGCGCATGCTTTCAGAAGTCTTAAAAAAGCAACACTCCGATGTGGAAACTACAGAACCCGAACCAACAAAAAAGAAAATCAACCTTCTGCTGGTGGCATATGATTCAGATTATGAAAATGAACATGCATTGGTCTGCACTGCTTTGGATTGTTATCGAGCAGAACCCATCATCAGCATGATCACATCCTCTGGAATGGTGGTTGAAGCATGAAGGGATGTAGGAATCTTTAGCACATCTGGCATGTAAATATCTTGCGACACCGGCTACAACAGTGCAATGAGAACGCCTGTTCTCACTTTCAGGTGACATTGTGAATAAGAAGCGGGCAGCATTAGCTCCTGCAAATGTAAACAAACTTGTTTGTCTGAGCGATTGGCTGAACAAGAAATAGGACTGAGTGGAGTTGTAGGCTCTAAAGTTTTACATTGTTTTATTTTTGAATTCACTTATTTTTTGTACATAATTCTACGTTTGTAAATTCTGTGCACATTTTCAAATTCAGCAAAATTCTACATATTTTATTTGTCAAAATAACACAATATAATCACACAAGTTTCAATTATTTTTGGTCATTTATTTCAAAATACCTGTCAGCAAGTATGTCTGTTACAATACAGACAACAAAAAATATTTAGGATTTTTTTTTGACAAATAGATTCCTTACTAGGCATATTAATACAGAACTCTCAGTAATAATTCATTTAAACTACAATACAGAACCATATTTCCCGCACCCCTCAGAAGAAGTGTAAAGGCTTGAGGGAGTCAGGGGTAATGGAGGACTGAGGGAGAGGGAAATAATTGCTGGGAAGGAGCCTAGGTGTGAACTTGGAGGGTTGTTGGGTATGGGTGGGAAAAGTATGGAACAGGCTTTTGGGAGGGCTGGGAGGGATTGCTAGGGAGCTTCCCCCATGCAGATCCTGGCTGACCCCAGCCTCTCCCATTCAGTCAGGCACATCTGTTCCTATCCCCATGTGTCCCTGCACCCCCATGTCTTCTTGCACCCCCATCCACATGTATCCCTCCACTCCCACTCAGACACCCACTCCCCCCATCCCCATGTGGCCCTACACCCCCTCTCCATGTGTCTCTGTGCCCCACTCAGCCACCCTTCTTTCCCTATGTGGCCCTGCACCCTCCCTCTATCCCCATGTGTCTCTGTGCCCCCACTCAGTCATCTCCCTGTCCCTATGTGGCCCTGCATCCCTTCCCCTGTCCCCATGTGGCCCTGCACCTCACTTCCCCCTGTAGCCTTGTGCCTCCACTCCCATTCATCCGCTGCCCCAGTCTGTCCTCCCCTCACTAGCCCTTATGAAGAACAGGAGGACTTGTGGCACCTTAGAGACTAACAAATTTATTAGAGCATAAGCTTTCGTGGACTATAGCCCACTTCTTCGGATGCATATCCGAAGTGGGCGGTAGTCCACGAAAGCTTATGCTCTAATAAATTTGTTAGTCTCTAAGGTGCCACAAGTCCTCCTGTTCTTCTTTTTGCGGATACAGACTAACACGGCTGCTACTCTGTAGCCCTTATGAGCCACTGTCTGACCTCCCAGCAGCCCTAAACAGTCTGTCTCCCCATATCCCCTGTCTCCTGACCTGGCACGACAGGCGCTGTGAAGGAGGTAGGCTCTTTCTCTTTGCTAGCTGGCTGAGAGGTGCAGCCCTGTTCTAGTGTT